TTAGGTAGGTCTAACTGGACAGAAGGGAAAGATATATTACAATACTGCAACAGATCACTGATTCTTTCTAGATTGAGCTGATTATCACCGATTTCAAGGAAAACACAGCCATTGGATAATAGCAATATTGTCAAGTATAAAGCAGAGAAAGAAAAGTGGATCTATAATGAAGTCATTGATTGGCTGGCTGAATCAAATATTTTTTAATCTGTCTACTACTCTGCACTTCCTATTATATACCCTAAAATAGTTATTTTTAAGCATTTGAGTCAGGCTACATAAAACCCAATTTATGTAGAAAAAAGCATAATATCCGATGGAAGAAAAAGGAATCATATGGAATATTCTTCTTAACAAAAAAGCTGAAATATGAAGTGTCAATATGTGTTAACACCTTCATACTCAGAACTGTTGATAATTATCTCTTGATCACAGAAATAAGTTTAATTATCCCATCTGCTACACACACACGATTTCAGTTAACATGGATGTATCCTCAAGGAGTTTCAAAAAAAGAAATTATATATACTTTCAATACTTTGTATTTTCTATGTAAACCCTGCATAGTGGCTCATATCTGTAATCCCAGCTCTTTGGAAGGTGGAGGCCAGAGGATCACCTGAGCTCAGAGATTCAAGACCACCCTGGGCAACTTAGTGAGATCTCGTCCCAACAATAAATAAAAAATTAGTTGGAGAGGTGGTGCACACCTGTGGTTGCAGCTACTTGGAAGGTTGGGCAGAAGAATTGCTGCAGCCCAGCAGGTCTAGCTGCAGTGGCCATGAACATGCCACTGCACTCCAGCCTGTAGTACAAAGTAAGACTCCAACTCAAAAAATGAAAAATAAAACTTTTTATTTCCTATTTTAATTTTTTTTTAAGGTAAAGAACAGTCTTAGAATTCCCTCCTATGGCTTGCATTTGGCTGACAAATAATAAGATAATTTATAAGAAAATTGAGGCAACTCATATATGTTATAGTTTGAAAATTTTCCTGCTTGCACTTTCCATAAGTGTGGTGTGTGTGCATGCATGAACACACACAATCTTTTATACCTATAGAAACCACTAAGACAATTCATATAAAGAAAAACATTTCAATTTTATTAAAGTAATTCACCACAGGATACACCATGGCTAATTAATAGGACAAGAATCATAACCCAAGGGTTTTTTTCCTTGCTTGATAGCTATATAAAAATATAACTGGCTTATAAAATATGTCTCAGTTATTTACAGTAATGCACAAATATTGCCAGGCAAATATTAAAAGACTAAAGGTTAACGTTGCCAAGTTTTTTGGCTAAGCATCAATTTAAAAAGACAAACCAAGAAAAACACTTGAACTTATGCAGACAAAGCCTAAGGATACAGAAGGCAAAAAAAGGGGACACATTCCTAGTCGACCCTTGAATTCTTAATGTCTGACTCCAGCAGAATGAGCCAAAACAGGTTTAGCAAAACAGGTGTATAACTTTATATGTCTCTCACATAACAGCTTGGAGACACAATCAAATCTAAAAATCGATTGCGGCATTGAACAAAAATCTATTACAGCACAGAACGGAAATCTGCACTGCTAAAGGGTAGAGATGAATACATAAATTGTTACATCATGAGGGAGGATAAATAAGGAATGAAAATCCAGTGCAGCAGGGGAAACTTATTGGCAAACCATTAAACAATTTTCAAACTGTTCAATGTTAAAACATTATTGATAAATTCAAACCTCAGCATCCTGTCAGGGTATGGAACCATTAGCACTCCTAGATACTGCTTAATAAATTAAAATTGTTAATCTTATTGGATATATACATCTCAGACACTTCTTTCAACTTAAAACAGTTGAAGTAACAGCTATTTCATTACTTTTGTGCTAAAGGTAGGGGTTCTTAAAACCTCTTGTTAATGAAGGAACAAATTTTGGGACGGAAACTCAGGAAGTCAATTCTAATCTAAATTATATTCCAAGCTAGGAGATTTTAAATGAATGCATTTGGCAAAGATTTATTGAGAGTTTTCAATGTTCAAGATTCAGTGTTGAGTTCTGCAGATGACGTATTTGAAACCTGATACCTTTCAAAACCTGATATTTAAAACCTGACATCTTTCAAAAATTCGACACAATGGATGCCCCCAAGGAATAATAGGCCGTGAAACAGAATACTGTACCATAATAAACATAAAAAATAAAATCCTAAGAACCAAGAGGAACCTTTGAATAAGATAAAAGGCTTTGGGGAATGCTTAAGTGATGTTTGAGCTAGGCCTAGAACAAGGGATCAAGTTTGAACATGTGGCAATGGAAGGGAATTTTTTCTTTTTTTTAGTGACTTTAAGTCAGTGTGGCAGATGGGATAATTACACGTATTTCGGTGATCAAGAGACAATTATCAACAGTTCTGAGTGAGGGTAAGGAATGTTTCTGTTCCCACTTGTGGACAAGGAAAAGATGTATTCCTGAGTATTCAAATTAAATCCATTTTTCTGTAAATGGTTAAATTCCACACTACAGCACTACACCACAGACAGCAAGAACAGAATGTACTCCAGTGCCCTACACAAACAGACATCATTTCCAACTATTTTTCCCTTACATCGACTGCTCTTGCCATGTCAGTCTTTTGGGGGTTCTTCGAACAGGCACTCTCTCTTCAGGGCCTTTGCATTCACAGCTCCTTCTGCCTGGAATGTTCTTTCCCCATATCTGCAAGGCTGGTTTTTTACCTCCTTCAAGTCTTTGCTCAAATGCCACTTTCTTCATGAGAACTTAACTGATTACCCTATTTTAAACTGTCATTCTTGCACTCCCTATCACTCTTCCCTGCTTTATTTTTCCCCAGTATATATTACTCTCTGACATGTTAAATGTAACCTACTTTTTATTAGCTTTGTCTATGTCTCTCCTGCAAGAAGTTATCTGTTCAGATTTTAAAACAGTGTCTGCACATGGTAGGTATGAAATAACTATCTGTTGACAAACTGACAGATGGAATAAATGAATGAAAAAATATCTGCCCTCAAATAGGTTATAATCTAACAAAGGAAGCAAATATATAAATAAATAAAAACCTAATCTTAAATTATTCCTGAAATACAAAAATAAAGACATGGTCGGCAAAATCCAACTTATAAAAGACTAATACACAGAAACATCTTCTGCCATCCCATTTCTACCTTGCCAGTGACCACTAGATTCTTCTTTTTATACCTTCTATCCCTGTCCCTAATAGCACTGTAATGCAATGCCAAAAATGACGTCTGAGCTGCCACTGCTGCCCGAACTGCCTCTCCCACAGTAAGCTTCACTGCTACCTACTAAGTGAAGGAAAGGAATATTTCCGTTCCCACTTGTGGACAAGGGCAAGATGTATTTCTAAGTATCCAAATTAAATCCATTTTTCTACAGATGGCTAAATTCCACACGTCAGGAGTGGTTACACTGGTATTATCGATTAGTCAAGGAACCTACTGTTTTAAATACTGCTTAATTATTAAGTTTAGACATAAACAAGTTAATTTTTGAATTCTATCCCACTACTTCAATATACCTTTTCTACACTGCAAATGGGTGGGACTGGCAAGATGATTAAGAGAAAGATTTCTTCAGCTAGTAATATATTTTAAGCAAATAGGGACAGTAAAGGGTATTTTTTTTTATTCAGATGGATCAACTAGAATTTAATCCTGGATTAAAGAATGATGTAGAACTTTTTTTCCTTTAGCCGGGAAGTCATTCTAAGAATTTTTAAATAGACCATTAATATTTAAGTTATACTAAATTAAAACCGCACAGGAGTAGTAGAAAATATTCCTCATCAGTAGCAAAAGCAAAACAACTTAAGGAAATGAGGATAGAGCTCAAGATTTCTCACTCCAACTAACACCTCCACAGACTGCATTATCACTTTAAGCAAACTGACATTTTCACATTTTCTTTTTAATGGCAGAAATGATTTCCATCTGGGACTTATCTGCATAAAAGTGTTAGCCTTGGCACAATTTCAAAATTGAATTGAAAGTTCATCTCTGGCCATAAGCAAAATGCCCCAATGCAACACAATAGTTATGTCTCACATGAATCCTACCAATGGGAGCCCAATTTCATGTGTTTTACCTGGTGGTGAATTTTACCCTCAGATAAGCGCGTAAGTCTATAAAACCCCTTCTCCATTATCCAATAAACTACTTATCTTTACTACCTTAAAGTCTCCTACTAAACAATGACCAATACTAAACAATATTTACACTTCTAAAAGGTAAGTTTTACAAATATTACTATTCTTCATAAGTAGAATGAAAAACTACAAAGTAGGGCCAATGCTCTGATGTGGAAAAAATGTCAAATCAGACGCTGAAATCATAACTTTCAGGTATAGAATCACAGTTCTCATCGGTCCACTACAAGCGTCGCCAGTTATTTCGAGAGTAAATCATTTCCAGCCGGGCGGTAAGAAGCCCGATAATAACAGCAGGGTCATCCCTTGTCTTCCTTTTTAATGAGGAGACATCTGACGAAACACAGGAGACAGTGCGTACAGGGATCAAAACGCAGGAAACCAAAGTTCCAGCGATACGAGAGGATTACAAGGGAAAACAGCAGCCCATCTGTCTAAGAGAACAGGAAGAAGTCTACCTGGAAGGGCTGAGAGTCAGGGAGGGGGCGGAGAGAGGAACGCGCCCCGCGTGGTCTCCCTCCTCCCGGGAAGCCGCGGGACTGGGGGGGGGGGGCAGGGGGCAGGGGGCAGGCGAGAAAAAGCGCGGGGCGGGGCGCGGCACGGGGCTCCCGGGCGCAGGTGGGCTGCGGCTGCCCGACTTGCGAGGGCCTCACTCGCGCCTCCGGGAAGCCACCCAGCCCACCGACGGGCGGAAGGTGCCGTCCAGGCAGAGCCACGTCGGAAGCTGACCGCGCGCCAGGGAGGTGGACAACCGGTCCACACCCACCGGGGGGCTGACAGCCCGCGAGCGCGAGGCGGCCGG